ACACACACACACTCACACACACACACACACACACACACACACACACACACACACACACACACAACAGAGAACAAACTACGTTCCAAAAAGAAATGAAATCTGGGGTTAGCTTTAACCGGTTAGCGACTCTTCACTAATCTGGATTGAACTTCGACTTGTAACGTTGTGTTTTCCTCTCCCTCTCTCTCTCTCTTCCTCTCTCTCCCTCTCTCTCTCCCTCAGAGGCGCCTAGGCGATGCGGCGAAGAAGGCGATCAGTAAGCTCCAGGTCCGAACCATCAGGAAAGGAGACCAGGAGACGGAGGGAGACTTTGATAACTGTGCCGTGTGCATCGAGGGATACAAGCCCAACGACGTGGTGCGAATTCTGCCCTGCAGGTGAGAGTGAGAGAGAGAGTGAGAGAGAGAGAGTGAGAGAGAGAGAGAGAGAGAGAGTGAGAGAGAGAGAGAGAGAGAGAGAGAGAGAGAGAGAGAGAGAGAGAGAGAGAGAGAGAGAGAGAGAGACACTCTCTCAGTAGTTAAAGCTGTGTTTGTCTGCAGACACCTGTTCCATAAGAGCTGCGTGGACCCCTGGCTGCTGGACCACCGGACCTGCCCCATGTGCAAGATGAACATCCTCAAAGCCCTCGGCATCGCTGTGAGTCTCTAATATAACATCATCCATTCAATATATTCTGTTTGATTAGAGAGAGAGGCTGCAGGGTGGCTTCAAAACACTGAGGAAGAGTTCCAACTTCTGCATTGCAATAGCACAAAAGTAGTTTTACAACCTGCTTTTACTCAGGAATCTGCATTAAGTCAGTCAAGAAAATGTGTTTCAAACATCTTGAATCACCATATAATGTATTTTCTTTTTGCATTAGGGTTTAATAGTTAATATAGGTCATTTAAATCAATTAAAAAATATATATTTCTTGTGTCACAGAACCCCTAATGACCTCTGATACGTTGTTTTCTCTTGGTCCCGCCTCTCCTCGCATCCCATTGGCTCTTCTCTCTGGATGCTGTGTTCTGATTGGCTGCTAAGCCTCTTTTGTTGATAAACTGGTTCTAATGAGTGTTGTCATATTATATCTGTTCTTTTCTTTCTACTTTAACTGTCTTGTTGATTTAATATTTGTATTTCCTGTCTGTCCTGCTTTTTCACTTCACCAGATGTCTTTGTTCTCAGGATTCTTTTCGTGCTATCTTGTTGAAAACTGTTAATTAAAACGGATCTCTAAACTGCTCCCTCTCTCTCCAGCTGAACGCAGACTGTCTGGAAGACCTCCCTCTGGACTACGACCTGACCGTGGGGGGGGTCGGGGGGGCGCTGGCTCTGGAGGCCGTGGTGTCGGGGGGGTCGAGCGACGGGACCCTCAGTGAGGGGGGGGGCTCCTCCGTGCTGCTGGACCCCGGGGTCAGGAGGGTGGGATTGCCTCAGGACTACCAGGACCCTCTGAGAGACAGCCCTGTTACCATGATTACTGACACACTCACAGGTACACACACACACACACACACACACACACACACACACACACACACACACACACACACACACACACACACACTCAGACACACACACATTTGAAACTATTATTCTCTGTCTCTCTCCAGGCGATCTGCAGCCGATGGCGAGCAGCTCCGTGGCGTCGCTGGTCATCACCGTGGAGACGGGTCTGTCGGACGAGGAGGGGACCGGGGAGCAGAACCAGCTAGGGGAAAAGTCCTGAGAGGAGCCGAACCTGAACCAGAACTCAGTGATTAGGTTCAAATTAAACCCTCCGGAGAACAAAGATTAAAAAGGAGATTAAACGGTTTGTTGAGACGGATTTATTTGGGAAGGAAACTCTTTAAAAGCTCTGACTTTTGACTGAAGTTGGAACTAAAACCGGAACCAGAGTTTGGGGTTTTCTCTTTGGACCTGGACCCCTTTCTGACTAGACTTTGAACAGGTTGTTCCCGGTGTGGATAAACCTGTGAGTGTTGGTTTGAATCTGGACTCAGAGGACCTGGTTTGACTTCCCTTTCTGAGTCTCTTTCTGGACGCTTAGCGGGTTTGAAACCAGAACTGTTCGGATTTTAAACCCTCCAGAGAACAAAGATTGAAAAGGAGAATAAACTGCTTTGTTTAGACACACTTATTTGGGAAGGAAACCTCTGTAAGAGCTCTGACTTTTGAATGAAGTGGGATCCAAGCTCAGAACCAGAACCAGAGTTAGTTTAGGGTTTTCTCTTTGGACCTCGCTCAACCGACTTATCTGGACCCCCTTTGGACTAGAACAGGTCTAGTAACACCTGTGAGTGTAGGTTATAATCTGGACTCAGAGGACCTGGCTTCACTTTCAGAGTCTCTATCTGGACATTTGACGGGTTTGGAACCAGAACTGGACCTGGGTTTTATCCATTGCGTTCACTTGGATTTACCACGTGTTTCCCGACTGGAATATATAACTCTGGATGTGTCCAAAAACGTATTTCCTGGTCCTCTAAATTTCATTTCAAATACGGTGGACGTTCGTTACTCAACGGACCTAACGAGGGTCGGACGGGATTCACACTGAGCCACGTTTTAACTCTCCGGTACTCACGAAAAAAGGGTACAATCCGGAGAAAATCAGCGGCCAAAAAGGTTTATCCTTCATCAGAAACACTGGAGGATCTTTGATGCGTGCTTGAGGACAACAAACGCCACGTTGTGTTGAAATCTAGATGTACCTGTTTGTTTCTGCCGCTCTCTGGACCTTTTTGTGGAATATCCTGTTACCTGGTGTTTCCAGGTCGGACAGCTCAGCAGAAGCCCCTCGCGGAGGTTTGATTGTGGTTGTTTTCGCTCATTTTGATTTGCCGGCCAACAATGTCTTGAGGCCTTTTATCTTGAAAGGTTTGTTTTCCCGGTGTTTTGCCGACTCGTCGTGGCAGTATTACAGCTTCAGTGACTGCAGTATTGAATTGAAGTTCTCACAGTATTTTTGTTTCTCTTTCTGCCTGTCGGTTTAATTCAGGCTCCTCTATCTTCAGAAGAACTGACAGTATTCGGGTGTACGTTCTGGCAAAAGCTCTGTACAAAATAATATAAGGTGTGATAGGAAAGATAATAACGACTTTAAAGCAAAGATGGAAATAAGTGTTTGAAACTTTACACAAATCCTGCAGCTTGGGTCGGGAGAAATGCCAAGATGATGGAGGACATTATCAATAATTACTTTCTCTAACTACGTCATTTAAATGGAAACAAACATCCCCGAGGCTGGGCAGACACTGCATGTTTATATTGTTTTTTTATTTTAACGATACACAAAAAACGTTAATCCTCGATGCAAAGCTAATGCTAAAGCTAACTTAAAAACCCTAGTCGATTTTGTCAAGGGACAATTCCCGATAAAGTTGATTTAAACTAGGGCTTAATCGTAATTATATCAGAATTGTAATATGGGCTATTGCGATATCCAAAAAGTAGAAAGTGCAATATTTGATGAAGACAAAATGTGAAAACACAATAATTACAGATCATTGTTAAACATAAAATTGTGATAATTTTAATGTATTTTTCCATAAAAATGGGAATAAAGACGCTGTAATCTTCATTCCCTCACATATCGTGAATCCTATCGCAATTGCAATGAGTCAAAATAGTCGTAAATTAAATATTTATTCAGTTAAATATAGTCCTATTTTTGTCTTCAGCTACGAACATTTCCAAAAATAATCAAAAAAATACTACTTTAGTTAAATGTAATATTGCGTAGAGTTTATAAACGACAATTTGAAGCTAGCCATATTGGGATTTTTTTTGTCGTAGAATTAACAACTACGTAAATATCAGAAGTACGCCGATGTGTCATAATCGGCAAATCTGGCACATTTTACGAGTCGGAAGTGACGTCTACAATCCTGGTTTATCTATGTAGTGTCTGCCTGGCTAAAGAAAGAGTTAGCGTTAAAATACCACGTATGATTCTTTTTTTTTTTAAACACGTAAAACCCTTTTAGCGTTGTTTTGTTTCTCTGTCCGTCCGTCTGCCAGCCTCACGCTGCCTTTAAAAAAAAAAAAAAACCTTTAAACCCTGACAATCAAATATCCGATCTTTCGCTCGTGACTCTACGATCTTTTTCTGAACCTCGCCACTAAACGGTGTTCGCTGCCATTCCCAGAGTTCAAACGCCACCAAAGCAATGTGTGAAAGACGAGGAAAAGTCTGAGATAGTTTAGCGAAGAATCCCTCCCTTTAGGGGCTGCACAATTTATCGGAATTTACCGCAATTCGGACTCGTACGATATCAACATACGCTATATTTGATTAGCTCCAATAATGTGTCGTCATAGCATTCGGAAAATACCATTTGTGGTCCCGACATACGAAAAATATTTGTACCATGATTATTTTAGCATAAATAGAAAATAGAAAATCCAATAACGTTAAAAATCGCAATTACGTATTTCCCCCTAAACTGTGCGTCCCTATTTCCCCCACGTTAGCCGTTAGCATGTAAATATAAAATGTATATTCCACACGTTCGCTGGCGCCGAGAGAGAAAGAGATTGTCGTCTATTTTGATACCAGAGGAGACGTTTTATTTTTGTAACGAAGACCCCGAGCAGCAGAGACTGACNCCCCCCCTATGAGATTGAGTGTTATTTTAAGTGTTGAATATTTGTGTAATTGTACATACAGATGACGTTGGCAATAGGAATCTAAAATATTGTAATTTGAGTGTATTTTGTTTTGAAGCCTGATGAAATCTGAGAGAATGAAGGCTGGAGAATGTTTTTTATTTTAAGGACGTAATCCTCAACATTGAATTGTGTTCAAGACCTTTTTTTAAAGCTCTGCGTGTACATAGCGTTGTTTTTCAGATCCTCCGTGATTTTGAACAATAAAAATCCGCCTCTAAAATCTGAAAAAATGCCAAACATAACGAGGTTTATAAGAACTGGAGTTGGTGTTTCCAGTCAAACCAATAATGTCTTCCTCCTTTGCTTCCCTCTTCCTCTTCCTCTCAGTATAAAACACTTCTTGTACACACAGGTGTCTTATATAAACGTGATGGGATTGTACGCCTTGTTTTGGCCATTTTTCTTTCCGTGTATAATGTTTTAATTAAACTTCCTTTCATGTTTTATTTTTACATTTGCAATTCTGCTGCCATCACCATGAAAGTGGATTTCTAAACCAGACTGAGGCTGCGGCGGCAGGTTGGTCCTCCTTTTAGGTGGGAATCAAACCTAAAAATACGGATTTATAACACACAGAAACGTCGGTAAAAACACAATTTATAGAAATGTGAAATATTCGTGATTGTTTGGTTGCTTTGAATCAACGTTGTTTGCCATATTTTCAAAGTAAAACATCCGAAAACTCACATTTAGTATCGGATAATGTGGACGTTTAAGTCCATACACAGCCTTAATAGACCTTATATAATATTAATAATAATTGTATTACAAAACAATGATAGACCTTTCTTTTGATAATTTAAATATTATTTAACTGTCACACACACAGTAACTAACTTTAAAAATGTAAACACACGTACAAGATCAGTTTTAATTTGTGTTTACAAGGAAGATGTTACTAAATATATCATTTCTATCTCTCCAATGTTAGAATTAAGAGATACAAAATATTACTTTTTGAACTCTCACATTTCAAAATGAGGTCTTTTTTTTATTTAATGGCCTTTAATAGTAATTACAAGGTTTTAAATCACTACAAACGTTGGACCCTCGTGTCACTGCCAGTAATGACGTCTGATTGGTTGTTTTCTCTTGCTCCCGCCTCTCCTCGCAGCTCATTGGATGTTCTCTCTGGATGTTGTTTTCTGATTGGTTGATGCACTTTAACTCTGTTTCTCTTGAGGGATCTGGAAAAAAGTCTTAGATTTTCTAATTTCTTCCGCTTTTTCCTTCCTATTTTCACTCACATTTTGTGCGATGGTGTTAAAAACGTTGTGACTGATCTGGAAAATGTTTTTTTTTAAATAATACTTCCATGTATCTGTAGTCCGACTGCCATATTTGCCATGTATTGTAATGTATGCTCTCCCTTGTAATCCAGCTGGACATTTTACAGTTTAATCTCACATTTCTGACAAAAAGTAGCCAAAAAAACCTGACATAAAGCCAATATTATTTTTGTCGAATTTGAATTAATCTTCTTTAATTTAGCTTTACAAAAACAGCGATATCCATGAGAAACAAAAACCTCCGTTCCTCCCAGAGAGACGGAGAAAGTTGAAGTGTCAGTAGCAATGCTAACCGCTAAGCTACGTGACGGCAGGGTAGGAAATGTTGTGTTTCTGCGATTTTTTTTAATCGTTTTACGAAGCGTCCGTTTGTGTGGTTGTCCTGTGCACGCTAACACAAAACACACACTCACTCTCACACACGTGTAAATACGCCATGTTGTTTCTGTGTTTCAGTTGTTGCACGTGTTCTGATTCAGGACAGAATTTAAATAAAAATGTAATTCAACATTTTTGGTTTGTTTTATTTATTCCAGCTATTTGTGTCATCTCTAAAAAAAAAATGGTTGGACTTTCAAAAATGTGGTTTTCTCCCTTAAATTATGAAAATGGACTGTTTTGTTTGAATTTCTCTATTTTAGTTTGTGTAATTATATGTTTTTTACAAATGACTTTTTTATTGTAGGAGTATTTAAAGAAGCATCTTCTATCATAATTATATTTTTATTTTTTAATTTG